TATATCAATTTTTCGTTTTGAAATAGGATGGTCTCTGACTGGGTCTCCAGCCTGAGGCTAGGGCTCCATGAAATATGTACATATATTTCTCTGAAAGTACGCTATGTTAAACGAGTTTAAAAAAAAAAAATCTGAACCAAGAAAACTTTTAAAAGTCATCGATAAATTAATATTTTTCTCACGCCATATGCATGGCGCGCTTAACGTAATAAGAGATTGTTAAACTTGGGAATGGAGGCACGCAAGACTAACGGATGAAAAGAGGCTGAATATACAAACAAAATGTAGGCCCGATGTCTTTTATATCGAGATTCAATATACCAAGCAGAAGGATACACAGAAGCAGGTAGAAGGATAGCAGGAGGAGAAGGATATACTTAATACATTTTATTGCCAAAGGCTGACTACGCTGTATAGATCATGGCGATTGATTCAAAAATCAAGCTACAAGCCAAAAAATAAACAAGTAATACTTCAAACTTCTTGTAGCTTGATTTTTGAATCAATTACCATGTTTATTAATTGTTTCGACGGAGTAACCTTGAGTTCAGTGCTTACGTCTCTTTTAAACTCCGTTCACCCTTGCCTAAAAACTAGATTTAAAAAAGGAACATGCAGTCTATGACTCATACTTTCAGTCGACGTCGCGTCGTCGCGTCGGTTTAAGGCGCCTTGATACAACTATTCGTACTCAATGGATATGCGTGTTGCCTACAAAAATATTGAAGGCACTTTGATTTTCATTGTCCGTTTAGTCACCATGAGTCGCGGGCTAGAGTTCACTATTTTGAGCCCCATATTAGTGAGACTATAGATTATCGAGGTTTAAGTTTCTTATTGACAGAGTGGAGATAAGCTTAGAACTTAGGTTCCATGGAAACTCCGTTTAGTCGGCTTTCACCAGACTATTCAGGTTTATTCAGTCCGGAAACTCAAGTAAATGTTCGTTCCTTTTATATAGTTAGAAGCTATATTTTATAAAGTTTTACATTTAATAATTATTACATTTAATTGTATTTTTACAATGAAAATATAGTGTTTTATATTAAACTAAATAATTTTGTTCTACGTTTAAGTGAACTGTTTTAAAACTTCAAAATTATCATAATAACTTCACTAATATGCTTTTACAAAATTAGACGTATTTATGCTAAAAGGAACTATGTGCGAGTGGAAAGATGGGGGGCCCTCGTGAAAGCTGGATAAGAAACAATGTAAAAGTGGATATAGTTCCTTTTGAGAAAATGGAAAAGTGGGATTTTCAATTCAATAAAAAGGAACGGAGCGCTAACTCGTGAGCCGTGGGCATGTGACAAGAGCCTTGTGGACAGGGCTCATGAGTTAAAGACCGCCTTCCTGATCGTCGTTGCCGCTGACGTCACTGGCGCTTTATATTTCCCATTCATTCTTATGGCCCGACCACTAACGAGCACACCCTCTCTTTCCACTTCCACATAGTTCCATTTAGCATAAATACGCCCAATTTAGGTTAGATTTTAGGAAAGGACCTAAATTTAAATCACATGCGCAAAGAAAAGCAGGACAAGTAGTCTTAAGACTTAAAACCCTCAGTCAACGTCGCGTCGGTTAAAGAGCCGCGTTGCAAGTATATTCGTGCTCTATGGATGACGTGTGTGTTGCATACATATAAAAAATTGAAGGTGCTGGAGATCCTCTTGTCCACTTAGCATCACCGCACTGTTGAAGTGAGAGTAGGAGGAGAGCAAGAAGTAAGGGTGGCACGAACTTATTGAGCAGAGCTCAAAAGAGGATGTAAATGCAATGGAACGTGAACAATTGTGCTAAGCATTTGTGTCCCAGACTTGTAGAGAATTCAACGAACATTGGACATGGTGAGTTTAGCGCGTGTCTTTGCAAACATTGACTCCTGCTGCTTCCAATTTGGCCAGCAAGGCGGCCTAGGCGCTCGGGCCGACCGCTTTGAGCGTTGCTCAAACATCGGGGGGAAAACAAGGGAATCGAAAATGATCCCGTGGCGCGTTTTTACGAGGATGTAATGTTATTAAAAGATACGTTCCGCCCATTTGAGCTCAAGCGTGGCATTATTTATTCAAGGATCATATTTAATGTTCGTCCCATTTTCGTTCCATTTCCAGGTTCCACAGTGCCAAGCCTCATCCTCGAACGCCCGCTCTTGTTTCACCTGTTTCTGTTTGCGGGCAACGCGTCCGTGCTGTTTTCCTCAATCAGACGCAAGGAGCCCGTTCAGAGATAAATTGAACGGAGTTAAATCGAAGAGGCCTCTTTGCGTTTGTGGTTTTTCTACCCACGTTATTTCTGAGTACCTTTTGTTCTACAAACGCGTCATCTCGAGAAGTTTGCTCCGCGCTTGAGGTGAATTTGTATATTATGGGAATCCAGCGACCTACCGATTTAGTGCTGAGAAATCTTCAAAATTTCTTTAACGATAGCTTATGATGTATTTTTTTTTTTTTGCATGTGTCCCTTTCCCTTACCTGACAAAACCCGACCTACCATCATTTGATCTAACTTTACGATCAAAGCTCAACCTTAACCCGAAAGAATTTATACTTCGACGGTGCGACTTACAAACCTCACATCGTCGTCTCCCTCACGAAAGAACGGAACTACATTCCATTGTTGCCAGATTTCTCCGCGCTAATTGCATTTTTACAAGGAGAATTTGAGAATTTCTGACTGAGAAGTTCACTGATTTTTCTTCTGATCCCAAGCAAAAATCAGACACATTTTCGACGAAAATTATGCAGGTTTATTCTCGTAAAAAATTGAATCATTTAAGTCAATTTCACAACCTTGAAATGAAGTTTCGTTTCCTCGTGCGGAAAACGACGATATCGTTTCCGGTGTTTAAAAATCTCCGTTCCCATTCCTCTTATTCTTCCGAGAGCGAATCATTATCATTTTCTGAAGTTTTCACAGATTTTCTTCGCACACAGCAGAAAAATCACGAACATTTTAAATAATGAACGTTGAGTAATTTTTCTTTTATAAAACTAAGTATGACCGAGAGTGCGCAAAGTGCGCAAAGAAACACGTGGTTTGGGAGTTTCAACCTAGGGTTGTTTTGTAGCATACCTACTCGTCATCACACTACCTGTGTTGAGCTTTTATTGTTGAACATACCGTCATCGGCAATTAATGGCAATATGTGTTGCTTTGCTCCAATTTTGAGTTCATTGACCCCTGGATAGTTGATACAAAGTTACGTTACTGTCAGTCACTACTTCAACTCCACTTTTGACAAAATTGGATCTAAAAATAATGCCAAAGAAGCACTTAATATTATATTAAACAATTTTAGAGTCCTAGGTGTGTAAGTTTACGCAGTTTAAGACTGTCATCTGGATTCGATTATTTTATTTAAAAAAAGACGTCAGCCGGTCTTTTGTTGCAGTCTAGAAGTGCGCAAACTTATTTGGCGTGGAATCTGGTGTGACGTCACACGATTTGCAAGTGGCATTGACAAACGTGGGGTAAAAGCTTCTAAAGCACGGGTATTTTTTATGTGATCCTATACATAGCCTCAGGAGCATTACCCTAATTACCCATCGAGCGTCTGGCGACACTGACATCAAAAAATATAATCAAAAGTTTACCTAAAAAAGTTTTGTATGACTGAGCTTAAATGTTGGATCCGAAGCGTGGGATGCCAATGTGAAGTTTGATAATCAGCATGTTGAAACTTAATCAAGTAACTCTGCGAAGAATCTTCATTGTGCTGGTTCATCATTTCCAGCTTTTGAGTTGTTAAGAGGATCAGTGAGAATTGAAAAAAGGGTAAAACTCGGCTGGCTCCAAATGGACATACCAACCGTTTTCCGGTTGGTATGTCCGTTATGCAAAAGCATAACGTCTAGATAAATTGAATCATCGCAACGTAAGTAGCTGTTATAAGTGCGGATTCACTATAAAATTTTACGAGGGATTTCACGTTGCATCGAACAGATAGGAATAAAGGCAATTGAGTGCTGAGAAAGAAATAGGTTGGGGAAATTTTCGATACATGATCTGAAGAAATAGGAAAGTTCTAAATTCCTTTCTGCCTCTCCTGCCCCCCCCCCCCCTCGAGACGAGTGTCTCGGCTCGACGACCCCAAGCCCAATGTGACGATTCTCGCAAGTTCGTACCACAATATTTTCTCCATCTAATTTCACTATAAATAATCGATTCTAGGTGGAGTATTTTGCATCGATGAATATCGATTGTTTTACATAAATTTGAATGTGAAAACTTCACCATGCCGCTTTGTGAGGAACGCCATTGCGCGGCCAAAGCGACGAAATGCTATCTAATCAGGATGAATGGTGACAGACAACTCGGATTTTCTCAACAGAAACTCTTCGACAAGATTCTCCTTTTTTTAAAAACAAAAAAATAAATAAAAAATAAAAAAATAAAAGAAGGGAAAAGGGGTACGGTGTTTCCCCCTTCATTTTCTTTCTGACGAAAGCGCAACTCATGGCATTCCCCTGAGGTAGTCAGTTGGAAACGCTATAAATATGCATTGCGAGATCCTCTATAATTGGTTGCATTTGATTTGCAAATGTTGGCCAAATTAAAGCGTAGGATGAACCGAGATCCGAGCCAAATGTGACGGAAATTTCAAAACTTATTCGAACTTCTTTTGTCTACATTCAATCACAAAATTGTACAATAAATGTATAACATGGCATCGTTGTTTTAAAAGGCGAGAATGCACCGCGTAAATTCATTAAGAGCTGACTCTAATCTTTGATAATTAAACCGTATTGCGGCACACTCTGCATCTTGATTTACTGTTTGAGAAATTTATGATCAATTGCGAAATTTTCAGATAAATCTTCTGAAATTCGAATATGTAAGCACTGTAAGCACGAGCATTTATTCAAAGTACTACAGTTGAATTTTCCCACCGTCTAGTCGAGGTAAAGTACATAAAAATTTTTACTTTCGGACACTTAAAATTAATTTTCGCAAAGTCTGTAGAAAAAGAGTGGCAATTAAAAAGTTGGACTCACCTCTATTAGTCTGACTGAGAGGTTTCCTGAGGTAGGGTCGTAGAAAATAGTCAAATGTACCGATCCTCGATACTCCTCCGGTTCGCTCAGCGACTTTTGAGGCTTGAAAAATAAACAAATATTTTAGTAAAATGGCGAATCTTTCGTCAATTCCCGTGCCAAAGAACGTAATTTCATTTCAAAGCTGCAAACTTACCTACACGAATGATAATTTTATCAGGAAACTGTTGGGAATTTCTAAGGGAAAAATTCAGCAATTTTTCTTTTATAGCTTGTACGCAGAAACTAGGAAAATTTGGGGAAAAATAAAGGGGAAAAACAGAAATTGCACAATCACATTCTTGTAACAAACTGAACTGATGCAGGCGAATTTGCAACCTCGGAATGTAGTTACGTCCTGCACGTGGGAATCGACAATTTTTGTTAACATACAAATATTAGTTCAGTAAGCCAACACCGAAGATGTCCTGGAATTAACGTCAAAAATTTTAACGGGCAATTCGGTAAAAGTCAGAGTGAGAATTTTTTGTTCTTTGAACATGGGCTTAAAAATTAAATTTATCCCGGTTATAGGAGGGGCGTAAAGTTAGGGATGAATAAATTATTCTTGAATTGTAAGGCCCTGCGTTTGAACAGCCTGTCGTCTAACTCAGAGCTTCGTAGTACATTTTGGTTTTCGATTCCTTTACACAATGTAGAATACTAGGGAGCTGTGCTCCCTAACCGCTTCGGGGTCCAACACCCCCGAAGTGCTTCGCGCCTCACGCGTTATGCATTTCTTATGTTCTTATAGTGTAGAGGATAATATGATTAGTTTTCGTTTTTTTGTGGGTATCTCGACATCGTGAAGTTGACGTCCCAAAACATCTGAAAATACTCTTGCGATAATTTTCTTTTTCCCATACAAATATTATTCTGTCAATTTAGTATGAGCTGAAAATTCCATGCAAATGTCTCCACTTTATCTCAGAAAAATCCCGTACTTTTCGCAAACATTTCACGAAATGCCCGTACTCTTCAAATATATCTAAACTGACCTGAACTACAAAAATACTTGCTTTTTCCAGAGACACAAACATTTTCATAAAAACTAACGTACTCACTTATGCGTAAATATTTGTAAAAATGAAGGGACGTTTTTCAGGTCTTTAGGTCCCATCGTCAGGTCGACCTATTAGGGACCTAAAGACCCGAGACGCGTCCCCTCATTTTTAAAAATAATTACGCAAGTGAGCAAGTAGGTTTTTATCAAAACTTTGGTTTTTTCTAAACATTGAGAACTTTTGTAGCCCCCTAACGATGTTCCTCAGTACTTTTTTCAGACTTGCCTAGCCCCAGGATCGCAAAATTTCATGAAAAGTAAAATCTTCGAATTTTACGTGAAACATTTCATGACATTTCAGAAATTTATAAAATATGTTGAAAAATACCGGTTCCTTTTCACGTTTCGCAAAATATAAAAGTTGTGACTTTCTTTTACTTTTGTATGTTTGAGTGCGGGTTGCATACTGCCGTGCTAAGGAAGAACGCCGTATGAACATTCGAGAGTTGCCAAATTTCCTTCGATAAAATGTTTATTTTTTTGGAAAATTCCTTTCCGCAATGAATCAGCAGGCGGCAATACGCGCACTGACGCCTACGAACCTAAGTGGCTACCTCACGCATTGCGCAATGATTGAAGTATCCCCTTAGGTTTGTAGGAGTCAGTGTGCACGGCGCTGAGATAACTATTTTAACGCGTAGGAGTGCGTATTACATAATCGACGGTTTGAAGGCGATTTATTCGCGCGTTTATGACCACCTATCAATCTATCTCATGCACGAATACACAACCCGGAACCTCTGTAGCAAAGTATCAAGTATCAAGGAAATTCATTCCTCCATCGCCAGCCACGCTCAGAGTAAGTTCACCGTACTAAAGTCCTACTTATTGAATGCATTGCTAAACAAGTCACTAAAAACCATTAGGTGGAAATTGTGCTAATCTCCTAAAGTAACTTTTCTACGCTGCCGTCCTACGGAAGAACGCCGTATGAACATTCGATAGTTGCCAAATTTCTTTCAATTTTATGTTTATTTTTGAGGAAAGTTATAAATATTTTCCCTTAAAATTTTCAGGGACTTTAGGGGAAACTGCGTACAAAATTATCTGAAAAATCGGAAGGAAAATTTTCATAAATTTATCAGGAAATTCGTGTTTTATCGAAGTAAATTTGGCAACGCGCCTGAAGGTTCATACGGCGTTTTTCCTTAGCACGGCAGCATACTCTAGCTCCTGAATAATATGAAATATTTCACAGCCTCGTGAAATTTCATGAAATATTACACTAAAATTTCCAATCTTTTATTTCTTTCTTACGTTTCATGCCACCCTGCCTAGCCCGTCAACACTCGGTAAGAAGAAAACCGCTGGTGCGCGCCCTGAGGGCCTGCCCGAATCCAAGCCGCATGATTAAATATAACACTTTCGAGGTGGAAAATGAGAGACTCGGAGGGATAACAGTAAAATATTACGAATGTAAAACAGGGTTTGGCGCCCGACGGGATTTAGGGAAGGGACGTGGAGCGGGCGCGCGAGAAGCATCGCAGCTCATCACCCTGTTCTGTCGGGGAACTCACATCCTTCGGGATAGGCAAAGCGCGCCATTAGGGGGTAATATTCCGCGGCAGTTGCGGCGCAGAGCGGGGCCTAATACAGCCGTTCTCAGGGAAAACCCCTTATGAGCATTCGACCGTTGCCCAATTGCTCCCGATTAAATATTCAATTTAGGCGTTATCTATGAATATTTTCCCTGGAATTTTTCAGTAACTTTCCATAAAATAGAGAATGAAGTTCTCTGAAAAATTGGAAGAAAAATATTCACGATTTCCCTAAAAAAAATTCGTATTTAATTTCGGGAGATTTGGCAACACCCGATCGCTCATGTGGTGATTTTCCTGAGCATGGCAAGATAGGTCCCTCACTAAGGCTTCGTCGGCGAGACAGCGAAGGATAAAAGCTTTCGATGATCCATCTGAGGAATATAAAATCTAACTACGCTTAAGGTACTTACGTTACCGGAAACCCGTCGCTTTTTCCGGCCTACTTGCCGAGGCGAGCTTACACGGTTTGACACATCGGCGGAGAAGTGCCCTTAAAATCTCATGGGGCGGTTTCAGATTCTGTTACCCTGCTTTTAATGTGAATCTTTACGGGGAGTAAACACAAGTACCTTCCTTGGGAGGACGACATGAACATTTGGAAGGTTCCGCGATGGCACCGCTCATGCCATGGCGCCTTCAATTTTGCGGACGCAACACGGACATCCATTAAGTACGAATAGTTGTATCTCTGCGCCGCGTCGTCATCAACGCGCGTCCTTTCCCTTGCTCTATTTCCATAAAGTGTGTTTTCGTTTGTCTTATAGTGGCGCCTTAAAGGCGACGCGAGCAACATGAACAAAAATCAAGAATATTCCAGAAATTACGTTGACTAGTTTTCCTCAGAAACATTAAAATGTGACAGGAAGTTTGCAGCGTGGCAAACTGAGAAACGTGGTTTCAATTTTCGGCCATCGATATCTTGTTTAGGAGTTGACTGCCAGACTTTCCATTGTGCGCTTCCTTTAAATCGTGAAATTTTAAGAGAAATTGGACCGCGTTGAGCAGAGAGGAATACCAAGCCACATCAGCTATTTCCAAATTTAATTGGGCAATTTAATTTTTTACGTGAAAACAGTCGTGCGGATTTTTGTGCGGATTTCAGTGAATTTTCTGCATAGTACGAAGCAATTTCCCTGAAATTTTCAAAGGTATCTGCACAAACGTGCTACTGTAAAAAATTAAATTTCCCAGTTACATTTGGCAATAGCTAATGTGGCTTGGTTCATTTCTGCTTAACGCGGTCCTTTTGGGAAAGTTCAAAAGGTCTTCACCGATAGCCACCCATGCTTAAAAATACATTCTCTTACTATCGACTCTTTCATGTTACTATTATAAGCAAAATTCATTGGCAAAAACCTACACAAATTTTTGCCAAGTCTCTTTAATTTTTTGTAGAAGAACTTTAGATCTGGAGCATTGAAAAAAACAAATTGCCGGAATTTGCCGTTAGGAGGAGATTTCTTTCGAATAAAGTTTAATATCGTCTCAATCAAGCAAGTTTCTGCTTGACGTCACGTCGCTCTTCTGGCGCGAGGGCGTAGGTATTGCACGACTCTATGTTTTCTGGGCATGGTGAAAAAATAGTGATACGCTCTTACGTCAGAAGATCGGCAATAAGCGACTTTCCTGTTGTGATGAGCATATTTTCTGTGTGATGCGAAACAAATTTCTTCTTGGCGGCATGATTACCGGAACTAACTTTTATATGGACGTATTTCTACCAAATGGAACTATGTGCATTTAGACATGAGCCCTGAGACCCATAAGAATACATGCTTAACAGGGCTCACGTCATAATACACACAGTTCCGTTTGACAGAAATACGTCCATATAAGCTCTTTATCTTTACCTTTTGTCAAATCAAGTAAATTGAAATTTTTGAAAATGAAATTAATGCGATTTTGAAGGCACACTCCCCGGGATTGATTTTCATTCTTTGCAACCACCCCATGCACAACCTCCCCTTCAACCCTCCTCCTATACGCAGACGGATGTTACGAACGAACACGTAACAACTTAGTTGAAAATAACTCCAAGAAGACTTTTCAGCAGAGGAAGGCTCTAAAGGTTGGAGTGGGAGACGGGGGTAAATCTTTCCGGCGCCGGGAGTTTCAAGTTGGTAATCTTGAGATAGCTGTAAAAAAGTAAGCGCGTTTACCAGTGTAAGAAGGAAATGTGTGAGCCAAGACGGAGTCCACCTCCCCGAATGCTAATGAGCGCAAACGTACGTGAAATTTTAATTCTGTTGCATTTGTCCATTGTTGCTCGTTCTACGGTTTGACCTAAATTTGAACCTTCTGTGAACTGACAATGGAAATACGGACAAAGAGTCAATTTGATCACGAAGTTGCGTGTTTTTTTTTCAAAATTTGACGACAAAATCCAAAATGAATCGATGGATTTTTTTCTTTTTTTTTTTATTCATTTATATCTTGGACAGGGCTGCATTTAGGGGGTG